TCTTCTTCTTCTTCTTCTTCTTCTTCTTCTTCTTCTTCTTCTTCTTCTTCTTCCTTTCACTAGTTCACGTCCCACTCCATTCTGTTATCCCCCTCCTAGTCCTTCCTCGTATTTCACCCACTCTGTTCGCGTTCCACTCCTTCCTCCTCGTCCTCTTTCCTTTTCGTCCTCCTCTCTCCCCGTCCTTCTTCCTTGCCGCCCTCCTTACTTCCTCTTCGTCCCTTTTCCTCCTCGTTCTTCTTCCTCCTCTCCCACTTTCACGTTTCTCTGTCCTTCATAATTAAGCCTATCCCAGATAGGGGCATTATTCAGGATGCAAATCCAGACAGAAATTATTTTTATAGTTTTCAAATCTTAGTCGCTGCTGGCACCAAACTGGCTAGAACAACGAGGCAAACACTTTTTTTTTCTCTGTCAAAAGTGCAAATGTCAGAAAAGATGGAGGCAAATCAGTTAGATCGTCGCGCTGTTTGCCCATCGGGAATTATATTCATTTGATATCATCGATCCGTTGTTTAATACAGAGTTTGGAATTCCTTCAACAACAAAAATACGCCATATCAGATTGGGGGCTACGATCTTTGTTAACTATATTTTTCGACATTGGTTGAATAGAAAGCGCGAAGTGTCCTTTCTGTCATAGACAGCTTCTCTTTTACAGTTGATTTTGAGTAGATGTGTCATACGAGTCAGAGTTAAACCATGATGTGACTATAGCGAGCTTTGTGTGCATAGCATCGTGCTCAAATCAGGCGTTCGTCAAAATAATGAAATAAAAGCAACCGGCATTCTTTCCGCCGGCTTTGGTAATATTTTTAATTTTTAAGATTTAAGGATTTTTTAAAATGTTGCTCAACGCCTTTTATGTTCATTTAAAAACACATTTCTGTGTGGATTTAACATAAAAATGTTGATCAAAGACACACAAAGTGTGTATTTGCAGATTCCGAGCTGTGGAAGTCATCAAATTTTGGCAGCCATTTTTTCCCTATTTTACCTTAACACCAGGCGACCCTCATTCCTTCAATCAAAAAATATCGAGTTCTATTCAAGTATTATTTTTCTTCTAAAGATACACTGTAAAACAAATTGCTATGGTTTTCCTATTTTTTTGTGTCGTCATCCCCCACTTCAAGCACCTCAAGATATAAAGAACTTGTTCTCAAAGAAAGAAAAGGGAAAAGGAAACCGAAAAGGAGGGGGTGGGGCGGGGGGACCGGGGCTATGGAAGAAGTTCCGAAATTTAAGGAAGAAATAAATGATGGTGATTAGCTGGCATCACAATTTGCCAGTGCATTCAGCAGCCTCACAAAAATCACGGGTTGTTCAAATTAGTTCATCTGTCCATACAGCGCGCACAGCTTAACCTCTGACCCACGAGTGACCAGACTGGTCAAGCCCTCGTCCCCTCCCCTCCCCGCCCACCACAACAAATCAAGCTTCCCCTTCAGCGCACGACGATTCTACTCACGGCCTTTATCGTCTCAAGTTTCCACACGCCCTCAGAGATTTTATCGCTCGCGCCGTCGTGTTGCCCCCCGCTGGCTACACGTCCTCGATGGAGGTGCAATATGCTCCTGACCTTCGACACATGTAGCAAATCGTTTGATCCTGCCGATGAGAGAAGGTCTTAACTAGGATTGACTGTAATATTGATAGTACTCTCCCTGTCAAAAGTGCATGTCTCACACTCACTGCTAAGAAAAGTGGTTTTAGTAGTTCTTTTTTTTTTATTTCTTTTTTTTTTATTTTTAGCTTTTGTGTTTTACGGCAATTGTAACTTTATTAAGTTATATAAGTGCCGAAGATCAGAGATGTTACTAGAGAGTGTAATACAGAAAGTGTG